AATATTACCAAGGTAATAGTTCTTGAAGCTCACGGAAGACCCAATTATCATTTAGAAATGCTTAAAAAGTTTATTTTTAATAGTAAGGCTTAAGCAGATAGTTAAAACTGTAGTTAATGTATTTTTAATTGGGCTTTTGTCTATACATTTAGGGGAGAATTAAGATAGGCAAAGCAATTAAAATATGGATCACTGTATAAAATATAAATGGCTGAGGCACACATGCTTCTGACACAGTAAAAATTGCTTTGTTCATTAATTTCAAGTAACATTGACATTCTGCTTCTAATATCTATTCACTGGAGTTTTATCTAATTCAGATCATGAATCCCCCCCTTTTTTTTTTCAAAGCTACAATAGCTGGATGTTCCTACCATTACATTAGGGAGTTTGTGCCGGATGTTGAAAACTTCATCTTATTAACTGTAATTGACTTTAATTTTAATTCTATTCTCACTGCATCACATTCTTGTTCACCTAGAATTCACCTAGGCTTTAAAGGTAATAAATGCACCGTGTAACAACTATCAACAGAAGGTTAGGCTAAATGCAATTTTATGTGCTGGCCTCAAAATAATTAGCCATATCTGTCAATTCACAAATGTTGGTGTGTGCCTGTGTAGAGACAATTGTGACATTGCTTTGAAATGGAAATGCCCATTGAACATAAAAAAGAAAAATCAAACCACAAACTGCTATTTAATGATATAAATAGCATGCCTTCTTTTATTCACTAACCAATAGGCCATTCCATAAAATGAGACAAATGCAGCATATGTTTCCTGCAATTATTATTATTTTTAAACTTCTTTCCTAAAGAAATTAACTGTAGGAAAGTCCATTTAAGGCCATTTTTTGTCCAAATAATTGAAATTTGATCAAAAGCTATCATTTTACTGAATGCTCTCATGTCATAAAATGACTAATTTCACATACAATGGTCATTTCTCTTTAAAAACTAACTTTTAATCACTCAGAATATTGAACAATGGCTAATATATGTCCTAGTATTTTATGTTATAAAACACGTAATTTGGATATTATATAAATGAGGTTACTAAAATTGTGAAAACACAATTACATCCAAGGACTTGGTGTATAAAGGGTGGCCTGGTTTGAATGGAAACAATGATTTGGGAATTATATGTTATGTACTTGACTAGATTGCATGAGTTGCTAGTACCATCTATCCAATATTATTTACACTTTCTCAAACTTAATTAAAATTGAGGAGTGCTCTAATAATATTTTGCACAACTGAAAATATTCTTAAAAAAAGAAACTAGTGAAGGTAAAGCTCTTCATGTGAATTTAAGAACTCCATTTTCAAAATATACATTCCTGGGTTTTTCTCATGTCTAACTTAAGCAGGTGCAAATTCCTACATCTGCTTATTTTTGCTAGTTGCTTGTCTACATAACACCTCAATAAATCTAATTGCAGTGGGAGAAACCATCCAGAAACACTCGGTTTCTGCAGGCATAAATTACAATAGATGCCCCTCATTGTGAAGCCTGTGATGGAAATAAGGTAGGTAGGCTACTAGATACTTACTTTCACCATTCTGTTCAGCTAAGTAAGAACTGGGTAAATTTTTAGTACGTATTTTAAGTTCAAATGAAGCCACTCCAAAAGCACTTTAAAAAAAAAAAAAAGTAAGTGCTTGGATTTATTTGTAAATTGTGTCCTACTCAATTTTGTTCCAGAAAATGGTTGTCTGGCAAATATACAGATTTGATGACAAGAAAAATTTAAAAGTGAACATGCACGGCTTTCATTATTACTAGGAAGGCATCTTATTTTTCAATAACTTGTGTGATTAACTTTCTTTGTCCAAGTGTTTTCTTCACCATTTAAAAGTTGCAAGAAAGTTATTTACCTTGTTAAACAATACCACTGGGACCCCCATGATGCTAATATTATCATTTAAGTCTATATTTAAATTTAACAGTACACTTGAGTATCTTTCCTTGATTTTTTCCAAATGGCATCATGGGAGTGTATCAATTGTAACAGACCTAATTCTATTGTGATTCACCTTTGCCTGCTCTCTGTGATAGTTAATGAAAGCTTACGGCACACTTGAAAAGACCGAGATGATACATTTTTGTATTTATATGCAAATAGAATTATATCCTGCTTGCCTATACAGTCCAATTCTTTCCAACTTATCCATATGGATACCACAATTTGGGATGTCAAAGCTGTTTTAAAAGTAAATGTTTGAAATTTTATGACTCTCATAATATTGGAATTTGGACACCTGTTGTCCCTACAGGGGTGCAATGGCTCAGCTGTTAAAGATGTTGAGCTTATCAGCTGGAAAGTCCGATTCTGGTTTGAGATCTGAATTATTATTAGCATATGATGTTGTTACAGTAGCCAGGAGACCCTAATGCAGTGATGGCGAACTTTTTAGAGACCGAGTGCCCAAACTGCAACCCAAAACCCACTTATTTATCGCAAAGTGCCAGGGCTGCATCAGCATTGTGGTACCCTCAGGGGGGGCATGGGGCATGGCCCACTGGGTGGGCGTGGTTGCAGTGGTCACGGCAGACTGAGTGAGCGTGGCCGGGGCCAGTCCCTCGCCATCTCCAGGGCATCCCCGGGGAGCCAACGCCACTTGTTCGCTCACTTCCTGCCCTGTCGCTTCCAAATGCCACGTGCTCACTATTCTGGCGAACTCTGCTGGGGCAACGGCGCGCGTGCCCACAGAGAGAGCTCTGAGTGCCACCTCTGGCACGTGTGCCATAGGTTCGCCACCACTGCCCTAATGCTTTTGCATAGTAGTATGATCACGGAAACGTCTTTGGACAATGGTGGCTCCCCTTGGCTAAGAGACTGAGATGAGCACCGCCTTCTAGAGTTGGACATGCCTTGACAGGGGAATCCTTTACCTTTTTGTCCCTTTCATCTGTGAACAATGTCATTGAATCTCAGTTAATGATGATTTGTTTTAAATGGCCATGTAGTCATCCATACTAAGTCAAAGGACTAGTGATGCTATAACCTATACTATATATAGCCTGCTACTCCATAAGCTTTTGGTGGATAATGACTTGCTTCGTCAAAATACACAAAAACACATTTCATGTAGTAATATATTTGTTAGCTTTTAAGTTGCCAGAGGATTTAACTCAGCAATCAATCCCTCTGGAAAACTTGGTAGATTAATGAGCTGCTAGTTTAACTGCCCCTCTGCAGAAAGTTATTTCTATGACCACACCAAGATACATACTGGTTTTGGATCATGTTCAATTCATTTATTTCAGAAGACTGCATGGAATAAAAAACATTACCACAAGGCTGGACATTTTTTGTCTGAAGTGATGAAGTGTACTGAAGAGATTAGTATTCCTATGGAAACATCTTCAAGCAAGTAATTAAGGAGATTGCAGTGCATCCAATTCTTTGAAATGAAATGAAATAAGTATCCCTTCTATCAATCTTCTATTTGCATTTCCACAAAAATACATCCACAAAAACATAGCATATAGAAGCAAGAAACCAGTAAATGACACTAGGGGGTGTTATTAAAGATGTCAACTGCAAGTTTTATGCCCCTCTGCAAATCATTATTCCACACCAATATACATACTTCCAATAAACTTTACACTTTTTTGGCAGATATAAAATTACTTTGACCTCTTTACAAATGCACCATTTTCAAAATAGTGGAGCCACGAACAGATGTGGATTAAGCAGTAAACTTCAAAACCTAATTTACTTAACCATATGTTAAATTTGTGCTAAAACATTCCACCTATGAAAAAACGACAGAAGTAACCTGTCTATGAGAGGTGCTTCTGTACAGGAAGACTTTCAATTTAATGTACTATATACACTGCTTTTTTAAAGGTTAGTTACAGGTTAGTTACAGGTCCTTTATAAAACAAGAAACATTTTGTCTATGATACAAGATGGAAAATGCATTCTGTAATCCAGATGTTAAATAACATAAAATGAGCGAGCACGGGAATATCTACAGAAAAGCCTAACTCTTCATGATTAGAGTCTAATTACTGTCAGAATGGAACCATTATTTCCACTTTTATTAGTCAACAGGACACCCATGTTTTTGTGACAGACATACTGCTACATAAGTGCATAATATAAATCAACACATTAAACCTCAATCCTTTTTTGGCTTTTAACTGTACATGAATACTTTGTGCTTATTTTGACTGTGTAGCTTAATATGTGTTGCTTGATATACTGTGTATATATATATATATATATATATATATATATATATATATATATATATAGAGAGAGAGAGAGAGAGAGAGAGAGAGAGAGAGAGAGAGAGAAGGTGGGGAGAGGGAGACAGACATATTTTAAATACTTTAATAAAACTATAACCATGGCCTAAAATTTGGGAGATTGAGCAGCTGAGGGGGTGGATTGCACCTTTTATTGAAACTGGCATCTCGCAGGAAGAAAATACTTCATATTTTTAATACTGAATCAATAAAAATAGCACGTCTGCTCTGTTGGCAATCATGTGTAAAACACCCTTGACTTGACGAGACACATTAATGAGGTGCTGTCCTCCATCCATTGTGAATTTTAGGAGTAACAGAACTAAAAGCTCTTTGACAGATTAGTCTCTTTTCCTGGGGAAACTCAAGCTATAATTGTCTCTAAACAGCCACAGTCAGACTGGGGACTCTTCTTAATTTGGCCCCTTTAAATGGGCAGCTGTTAAGTGACTTGAGCGGGCTGATCACTTAAACATGTAGCAAAAAGGATTAGAAGTCTTACTCATTTCTATTGCAGCTTACTGAATTTGGGGAACGTATGCCAAATGCGATTGCAGAGATCCAAGCAGTGCGCGTATTTGCCTATTTGTACAGATGGATTTCCCCTTGAATGATGATGCAAAAATAATATGAAAAACAACAAAATTCAATCTTGCAAGTAGGATCCGCCCCACTTGCCAGGATGTAGGATGTTTTCAAATCCTGCAAAATGTGTTTAGTCCAATAGCTGAGTTGCCTTCATTCAAACATTTCATAATGACGTGTTTGCCGTACACGGGGAACCATATCCATAAGGAGCCTGAAAAGGAAAACAAACCCAGATTGAGGGCAACAGTTATACACTGCAAAGATCCAGCCATAAATTTCTGCATCTGTTAAAGCATTTTCCTAATCAGTACTTGTCTATCCCCAAAACAGAAAATTAATAAGAGGTCTTTGGTGCTCTCTGAGCTTGGTTTTGTTTTCATGCAGACATTTCATTACCCAGCTAGGTAACATCATCAGTGACGTTACATTAGTGTCATTACCCATTATCCAACTTGCAACATCATCTATGATGATGTTACTTTGTTGGGTAATGAAACGTCTGCAAGAAAACCAGCCAGCTCAGAGGATCCCACAGTTCAACCCTGAGCTACAAATATTCTTTTCTATTGGTACACACATATATATACACATACACACATATACACATATACATACATACATACATATATACAACATTGAATAAATAGTACATGGGACAGACTCCTTCTTGCCACAATCATGGAGCAACATTCAAATGCAAATGTAAAATAATTTCTTTAAAAAAAAAAGGTTTCACTTACTTGGCACCATAGGCAAATATTGTAAGTCCAATCAGAACCCCTATACTTCCATCCAGGTACCAGACAGAAGCATTATGCTTAAAAACTTCTGCACTCAGAAGGATGGAAAAGCCCATAATTCCTCCTACCAGAGAGTTGAAACCTGCAATGAAATAAATTAAGATTAGGCCCTCCTAGCAAGAACAGGGAATTCAAGAAACAGCCAATGTCAAGATTTGCACGTTGTTATGCCTGAGCTCAGGACCCCGGTGCCTGCTAGTGGAATTACAACTCCCCAAAGCTTTAAAATGTACCTACAACTAACCAAAGCCCACTTCAGTGAGTTGCTCTTTACAGCTCAGAAACCTAATCCACCATACCATAAATCTTTGTTGTCCCAATTCATACACCGAGATTCCTATTAACCCTTTAATTGCCCTCACCCCTTGCAACTGCTGCCTTAATACGGTCACCCCTGCAAGGCTATGGAATTGGAAGACTTGTTTTTAGATAGCCAGCTATATATTACCAGTTGCACCCCAAAATAAGATGAAACCATTTATTCCATCAAGCGCCCCTGCACTAGGTGTGTGTTCTGGGCCTTTAAGGCAGGGCAGTGTCAAATTCTGTGGACTGCATTTGAACGAACAGCGACCATCTGCTTTCTAGAAGCTGGAGACATAACTTCACTAACTCTGCAGTAGATCCAATCCTGCGGGGACAACATGACAGCTATGCAAATATGGCAGAGGAGGAAAATGAAGCTGGCTGCCAAGGAAAGTCTATTCAGTTTTGTAAAAGAAACAAACAGCACATTCATGCTGGCTCTAGAAGGGGGTTAGAAAACACACAGCCCCAACAGCAGAAAACTTACAAGGTGTGGCAAGAAGGAAAGGCTAGCAGGGCTGGATATTTCATCAGTCTTTATTAAATAATTGCTTGGCCCCCTTATTGACAGGAAGGCTACTGACAACCCAAAGGTTGCTCTTTTGTGATTTTTTAAAATCAATTATCGTTCTCCCATCTTTCAATAAATCTCCATCCCATTCTTATAAGATGCTCCCAATTCACTTCCATCCCACAACCAACTGTTAAATTAGTCATTTCTCACAGCAATTCACGCTCAAATAACACATACAAGGTTTAAGCAGCAAGGCAGAGAGACCTATATGGCCCCAAAGGGAGCAAATAGACACATTGAATATACCATGATTTTTTTGGGTGGGGGATGGGGGAGAGAAAGAGAAAGAGAAGGAGCAGAAGGAGGGAAGGTTTTAATTTGTGCTTTTGGATTCTCAAGAGACACCAGAGAGATTCTCCAATGGTGACATTGCACCCAAGAGCCCCATCAGCGTTCACAAGGAATTCCATATTCCACTGAATCTCCCACTGAAGCCGTGAATGCTAGACGGCGACTAATAACAACTGTCAAAAAATAAAACTGCCAGGGAAAATAATGGTCATATCTCAGCTCTGTTCTTCAACTTCTGGCCATAAGATGTCAGCCTGATCACATCTCTCCCCACATCCATAAACCCAGATTAGCCACAATCTGACGTTTATTAACATATTTATTAAATTTAAACATCACCCATCTCACTTCCTAAGTGACTCTGTTATATGCATGGTTAATTCATTTGAAACTCCCAGGTTTCTCCCCACAATGACGTTCTCATTTTCTCTCCTCCTCTCCTCTCCCCTCCCCTCTCTTTCTCTCCTCCCCTCNCTCGCCTACATCGTCCATATAGGACGACTCGGGAACTCAACTCCTACCCCGGGCAGCTCACCGATCCCCTTATGCCCAGGGGAAAGGTATCAAGCCGTTTGACAGCAGATGCTGGCTGTCAAACCGGCTTTTACGCAAAACAGGCGGGAGGCAGCAAACAGCTGCGACCAGCGAAATCGCCTGCCACCGGAAGTCCCCCATGCAGACATTTCATTACCCAGCTAGGTAACATCATCAGTGACGTTACATTAGTGTCATTACCCATTATCCAACTTGCAACATCATCTATGATGATGTTACCTTGTTGGGTAATGAAACGTCTGCAAGAAAACCAGCCAGCTCAGAGGATCCCACAGTTCAACCCTGAGCTACAAATATTCTTTTCTATTGGTACACACATATATATACACATATACACATATACATACATACATACATATATACAACATTGAATAAATAGTACATGGGACAGACTCCTTCTTGCCACAATCATGGAGCAACATTCAAATGCAAATGTAAAATAATTTCTTTAGAAAAAAAAGGTTTCACTTACTTGGCACCATAGGCAAATATTGTAAGTCCAATCAGAACCCCTATACTTCCATCCAGGTACCAGACAGAAGCATTATGCTTAAAAACTTCTGCACTCAGAAGGATGGAAAAGCCCATAATTCCTCCTACCAGAGAGTTGAAACCTGCAATGAAATAAATTAAGATTAGGCCCTCCTAGCAAGAACAGGGAATTAAAGAAACAGCCAATGTCAAGATTTGCACGTTGTTATGCCTGAGCTCAGGACCCCGGTGCCTGCTAGTGGAATTACAACTCCCCAAAGCTTTAAAATGTACCTACAACTAACCAAAGCCCACTTCAGTGAGTTGCTCTTTACAGCTCAGAAACCTAATCCACCATACCATAAATCTTTGTTGTCCCAATTCATACACCGAGATTCCTATTAACCCTTTAATTGCCCTCACCCCTTGCAACTGCTGCCTTAATACGGTCACCCCTGCAAGGCTATGGAATTGGAAGACTTGTTTTTAGATAGCCAGCTATATATTACCAGTTGCACCCCAAAATAAGACGAAACCATTTATTCCATCAAGCGCCCCTGGCACTAGGTGTGTGTTCTGGGCCTTTAAGGCAGGGCAGTGTCAAATTCTGTGGACTGCATTTGAACGAACAGCGACCATCTGCTTTCTAGAAGCTGGAGACATAACTTCACTAACTCTGCAGTAGATCCAATCCTGCGGGGACAACATGACAGCTATGCAAATATGGCAGAGGAGGAAAATGAAGCTGGCTGCCAAGGAAAGTCTATTCAGTTTTGTAAAAGAAACAAACAGCACATTCATGCTGGCTCTAGAAGGGGGTTAGAAAACACACAGCCCCAACAGCAGGAAACTTACAAGGTGTGGCAAGAAGGAAAGGCTAGCAGGGCTGGATATTTCATCAGTCTTTATTAAATAATTGCTTGGCCCCCTTGTTGACAGGAAGGCTACTGACAACCCAAAGGTTGCTCTTTTGTGATTTTTTTAAAATCAATTATCGTTCTCCCATCTTTCAATAAATCTCCATCCCATTCTTATAAGATGCTCCCAATTCACTTCCATCCCACAATCAACTGTTAAATTAGTCATTTCTCACAGCAATTCACGCTCAAATAACACATACAAGGTTTAAGCAGCAAGGCAGAGAGACCTAGAGGGCCCCAAAGGCAGCAAATAGACACATTGAATATACCATGATTTTTTGGGGGGGGGGGATGGGGGAGAGAAAGAGAAAGAGAAGGAGCAGAAGGAGGGAAGGTTTTAATTTGTGCTTTTGGATTCTCAAGAGACACCAGAGAGATTCTCCAATGGTGACATTGCACCCAAGAGCCCCATCAGCGTTCACAAGGAATTCCATATTCCACTGAATCTCCCACTGAAGCCGTGAATGCTAGACGGCGACTAATAACAACTGTCAAAAAATAAAACTGCCAGGGAAAATAATGGTCATATCTCAGCTCTGTTCTTCAACTTCTGGCCATAAGATGTCAGCCTGATCACATCTCTCCCCACATCCATAAACCCAAATTAGCCACAATCTGACGTTTATTAACATATTTATTAAATTTAAACATCACCCATCTCACTTCCTAAGTGACTCTGTTATATGCATGGTTAATTCATTTGAAACTCCCAGGTTTCTCCCCACAATGACGTTCTCATTTTCTCTCCTCCTCTCCTCTCCCCTCCCCTCTCTTTCTCTCCTCCCCTCNTGAGATCTTCATTTTCCAGAGATTCTATTCTACTCAATCTAATGATGCAAAAAACTAGAGAAATCTGGGCTTAGCTATATTTAACTAAAAATAGGTTAAACACATAGACAGCAGACTAATTACACAGTTCACTCCTTAATTTTGTTAATGGGAAAAATAGCAGCAGTGCAATTATCGCAAGCATATAATTAAAGGAAGAAAAGGAACATTCTCAGCTATTTGCAAAAACGACGTCTGTTTGCGCTAAGAAAATAGGGAGATGCTACAATGTTAGTAAAGGTCTAACATGTATGTCAAAAGGGTTTATTTCTATGTACTAAATTATATTATTACACGTAGAACTGTGCTTAAAAACAATAAAATATTTGTCCCTCTTCTATTCTTCTATATGTTATAAGGCACCTCTTATTAACCAGATCCGTAGGTTTTGTCAATAGGCAAATTAAATTAAATAAAAATTCACATCAGAAAAGCATTTTCTATTATATATTTTGCAATAATGTCTATGGCTCTACAGCACTTGGGAGAATCAGTTTAAATCAGATAAATGAATGTTTGCTGCTGCCCATGTCCAAATGGCATCCATATCAGAAACAGGCTTTTCATGCCATACCTCTAAATTCCAACTCTGTCTCTAACCATCACCTTCCACTCCTAAATTTTGTTAATTGAGTGATAATCAAAAGCTGCTGAAAGCTCCAGCAGGGTTAATAGTAATAAATCCATATTTATTGCAAGAACCTCATGGGCTGAATCACTCTTTTAATCTATTTACTTCTCTATTTCTGTCTATGATGATTTTTATTTATTTTACATTTGTGTGCCACAGGGCTCTACAAACGTGGCCATTTTATGACTTGTGGACTTCAGCTCCCAGAATTCCTCAGCCAAGCACGCTGGCTGAGGAATTCTGGGAGTTGAAGTCCACAAGTCATAAAAGGGCCACGTTTGAAGAGCCCTGGTGTACAACCATGTCCCTCAAAGAGGGACTCTGTTGTAAACTACCCCAGGGAAACCTTTGTTTATGAAATCAGAATGCTGATAATAAGTCTAAATAGCTTGGGGTGGAGATATTTGAAAAGCCAAGACCCCCTAGTCAACCTGCCCATAATTTATTTAAAAGCATCAGAGTCTCTGGCATTGTCTATCAAATGGAAAGTCCAGTTTGGAAAATATTCAGACAGGGCGTTTTTAATAGCAATACCACGACTCTAGAACAGTCTCAAAGTAGGACTAGCTCCTTTACTGGTCAGCTTTTAACATGCAATAAATACTATTCTACACAGTTGGAGTTTTAATTTTATGATGTGGCATTGCTCTCTAAATTCTAATGCTAATTCTCATCCGTTATTTTGTTTTCTGATCAGCCTTAATTTATATTTCATTACATTTTGCCCTGGATGAGTGGAAGTGCGGGGATAAGATTTATACATTTAATTAAGTAAGAAGACATGCTCTTCTTGTATAATATGCTGGAAACCATCAGGGAGCCAGAATAATAGGAAAAAAAATATCAATTGAATAGATCTTACTTCCCTAAAGGTGTCAGAAAAGACTTGAATTCATGTCTCCGGAAACCTGCCCCAAATTCATCATCATCATCATCATCATCATCATCATCAAAAAGTTGGAAGGGACCTTGGAGGTCATCTAGTCCAACCCCCTGCTCAGGCAGGAAACCCTACACCATTTCGGACAAATGGCTGTCCAGTCTCTTCTTAAAAACTTCCAATGTTGGAGCATTCACCACTTCTGGAGGCAGGTTGTTCCACTGATTAATTGTTCTTACTGTCAGGAAGTTTCTCCTTAGCTCTAGATTGCTTCTCTCCTTGATTAGTTTCCATCCGTTGCTTCTTGTCCTGCCTTCAGGCACTTTGGAGAATAGCTTGACCCCCTCTTCTTTGTGGCAGCTCCTGAGATATTGGAACACTGCTATCATGTCCCCCCTCGTCCTTCTCTTCGTTAAACTAGACATACCCAATTCCAGCAACCGTTCCTTATATGTTTTAGCCTCCAGTTCCCTAATCATCTTTGTTGCTCTTCTCTGTACTCTTTCTAGAGTCTCAGCATCTTTTTTCCATCATAGTGACCAAAACTGGATGCAGTATTCCAAGTGTGGCCTTACTAAGGCATTGTAAAGTGATATTAATACTTCACAGGATCTTGATTCTATCCCTCTGTTAATGCAGCCCAGCACTGTGTTGGCTTTTTTGGCAGCTGCAGCACACTGCTGGCTCATATTTAAGTGATTGTCCACTAGGACTCCGAGATCCCTCTCACAGTTACTACTATTGAGCAAGGTACCCCCTATACTATACCTGTACATTTGGTTTTTCTTGCCCAAATGTAGAACCTTACTTTTTTCACCACTGAATTTCATTTTGTTAGATAGCGCCCAATGTTCAAGTCTGTCCAGGTCCTCCTGTATCCTAAGCCTGTCTTCTGGAGTGTTGGCTATTCCTGCCAGCTTGGTGTCGTCCGCAAATTTGATGAGTTCCCCATCTATCCCCTTGTCCAGATCGTTGATGAAGATGTTGAAGAGCACTGGGCCCAGAACAGAGCCCTGGGGCACCCCACTTTAGCAGCATTACATTATATTACATTTACATTTACATTTACATTTACATTTACATTTACATTACATTACATTACATTAGCAGCAGAAGCTTCACAGATTTGATAGGGTTAGACCAGATTTACTGCAGAATACCAGAATCCTGGGACTTGCTTCCTGTCCTTTTAAGTCTATGAACTGTTGTCCATTCTTGCCTGGACTTGCAAATAGGAGACATTGCTCCAAGTTTCAATAAAGAAAGTTCCCATTGAGGTGTCCTAACATAAGGTCATCAAAGGTTATGGAGAAGGAGATGGGTTACAAATACTCCAAAATGTCCAGTTGGGCAATTGTCATATAGAGCTGCAAGAGTATTTCCTTCAAGGAAAAAAGCTCTCTGGAGTGGTTTTGGATAGTGAGATGGGCAACATGTAAATTTATTAAATAAATAAATAAATAAATAAATAAATAAATAAATAAATAAATAAATAAATAAATAAATAAAGAAAGAAAGAAAGAAAGAAAGAAAGAAAGAAAGAAAGAAAGAAAGAAAGAAAGAAGAAAGAAAGAAAGAAAGAAAGGAAGGAAGGAAGGAATAAGGAGCATAGAGTTGATCAAGGATTCACTTTCCTATGCCTTGGCTCCTGAAGGATTTTTTTTTATTTTCATTCATTCATTTCATTCATCGTAGTACATATACTGGATCTTTCATGAATATGGATTACTCTTGCTCATATTTTTGGGGAATTCTCTTTACGCATTCAATTATGCTAACACTTGGTTAAAGACCATACATTGTAAAAAAAAATAAAACTACAATATGGACTTGCTTTGTACATGCCTGAGAGATACAGTAAAGTAAGAGTGAACACCTAACCCATCACAAGATCCATCACAAGACCGTCACTCGACACACCACACCTGAAACCCTTATAAACAGAAGAACACTGACACTGACATCCCCTAAACTCCTCTGAAGATGTTACCTAGCCTGGTAATGAAACGTTTGTAACCAACCCACAAGCTTGGAGAACGAACCTTCACCCTCATCCTACACCTGAGCTACAGATATTTGCCACTATTGCAAGAGTGAAATTATCCCTGTTAGCCTCAGATACAAGTCTTACTGAGTTCAAAGGTTGTTTCTCTCAGATTAGTAATAATAGGATTCTACCTTAATCTGTCATGCAGAGAAAATGCATCTTTTTATTTTTCACAACAGATAAATCAGTTGATGCTTCTTTCAAAATTTTGCACAGCAAAAAAATAATGCCACAGAATTAAAATTCCCAGTGAGAACTATTAGTCATTGTTGCTGGGAAACACAATAAATGACGTTGGCAATGTGGAGAAAATTCCATGATCTTTATAAAATCATAGATGCAATATTATTTTTGAAGGATTGCTCTAGTGTTGCTGTTACTAATTTTATTCATTTATTTAAAAATTTTATAGGCTACCTATCTTACCTAAAGTTAGTTCAGTTCCAAACCATAAATATAGTTATAATTTGAAGGTAAAGAGCCCAGTTTTAAAATTTGTGCTAAGACTTTTTGATTTAAATCCTGTTTTAAAAGCATTTTAATTTTAAAAGTGAAGCTTAACTTAGCTATTGGCTAAAGATATATATGTGTGTGTGTAAGTGTGTTCTATCAGTTGAAATAGTAAAACACAGATTTCTTACATCCCATCATTGCACACATTAAAATGATTTAGAGTAATATAATCTACAGTATTCCTGAAGTCTGGAAAACAACAAGCAAAAGACAAACAGCAATTCCAGGCAAAATGCAGGTGGAGAATTATTGAATCTAATAACATGCGGATGCTTAGATATTTTTTTTTAATGTCTACATTCTGTCCAAATGTTGAGTGTGAAAAACATTTAGATTCCTACAGTAAATTTTGATACATTGTTTTCATTTGACTGTAAACATTTTAGCTGGCTATTTGGCTTCAAAGTTTATTTTTCCCTGTATTTATTTATTTAGACAAACCGTTAGTGGCTTTAATCATGATCATAATTTCAGAGCAACAAACAACGGAACCAGGTAATCCCTGGACTACTTCTGTGCATGATGTTTGCTTCTAAATTTATTAATTTTTGGAACAGATCAGAGAACAAAAGACTCAGTGAACTCAAAAAAGTTAACCAAATCTGTTATACATACATTAACCAACTCTCCTCCCTGTAATGTAATCCAACCACACATAACCTTCACTTACCTTTACTTCATTAGCCTTTGATGTAATAATATCAAGAGATACCTGTTTGCTACTTACCATCTGTTAACAATGCTCTGCTTGTAAGCACATTCCCCAACATAAATTTGATCACTGCTAAAGTAGTGCAAAGGATTCCACTTAAAATTGAAACGCTGTATAGAAAGTCATCCTGAAAAAGGAAAGGAAAACATTCTATGCCATTTTGCCACGTAATTCAAATAATAAAACTTAAAGATGGAGTAGTTCTGAATCAAAGTTCGCTAATCAAAGTTAACTGATTGATTTTATAACTTTCTGACAAACCTGGGTAGGATACAAAGACAACATAAAAATGGAAAACAATTAAAAACAATTATCAGCAACTGCTCTAGGTATCCTTAAAATAGTTTGTCTAATCCAGTGGTTCTCAACCTTTTTAATGCCGCGACCCCCAACCGGTCGTAAGTCGAGGACTAAACCGGTCGTAAGTCGAGGACTAAACCGGTCGTAAGTCGAGGACTAAACCGGTCATAAGTCGAGGACTACCCGACCGGTCGTAAGTTGAGGACTTTCCCTGCCCAGGAGCGCCGCGCATGCATGGTTCCGCCCCCTGTGCCGGCCGAGGCGTAGCTGGCAAGCGGCAGAGACGGAGCAGACCGACCACCAGCTGGCCCAGCTCAAGGGAGGTAAGGCACCCGCCGGAAAAGGGGGAAAAAATGGCGGACAGCCTTGCTTGGCGACCCCCGTGAAATGGTCGATCGACCCCAAATGGGGTCGCGACCCATAGGTTGAGAACCGCTGGTCTAATCTAAAGCCCAAATGTATAGGACAAAAACCTGTTTTGGCTTCTTCACAAAATCCCAGCAGAAAAATCCCATTTACACCCAGAGTCACTTGTTAAGTAGGCAGCTTTACAAACTGAATGAATGAATCTGTATTTCCAGAAGCTGCTTATTCCATAGAGTGAGGCCTTCTCTTTGATAGTTGAACCAGATAAACAATTCTGGTATTGCTCAATGGATCCTGGTGTTGTATCACCCAGGGTTTTGAAAGTAATAACAGCCCAGCATTGGGGGCAAAATTATGTCCTCTCCAAAGAGGCATTGATAAAGATTGTAGTGGGCATAGTAGGTGGCAAAAAGAATTACAATGTGAAATTGGAAAAAATATGTTACTCCAAACACTGATTTTTTTTAAAAAAAAATGGGTAATTTATCCTTGTGAAAAAGGCAATATTTCCAATTAATCAAATTATGAAGTAATATCTTCTTCTTTGGCATAGATTGTATGATATTTTAAACGATTCAGAAGTATTATTAGGTGACTTCTTTCTAATTTTTTGTTTTTGATGATAATATAGTATTATAAGAATTTTTATAAAACAGTAGCATTAAGACCTATCTTAAATTATTAATTTTGTAATGGATTACGGTACATTTTCTTACAGCCTTTATGGGCATTTTTCTTTTTAATCTTGTTTAGTTTTAGCATTCTTTACTAATGATTATTTAGTATATGATTCTTTTCCATGAGTTGTCTTTGTGTTTTGCTTATTTTTGGTAAACTTCTAAAAAGAATAAAGGTTAATAATTAGAAGTAACTTTTAAGATAAACAATTAACATTAAGTAGCACAGTGCTATAATTTTTAGCAGTTTTCTGGAGGGAAACACCTAATCTCCTTGGAAAGCAAGATGCCCCATTTTTTTACTGCCTTTCTAGGTGGTGCCACCCATAACCAAGCTAGCTCGATAAAGACTTGAACTCAGGCATGGGAGGGGGGGAGGAAAGAGATGGTCTTTCAGATGAATATTTCAACAGAGTACCTCTCTGTGTCCCCGGAGGAAACAAGAAAATTGATCTTTGTCTCCCCCTCTCTACAGAAATAATTCATATTCAGAGCCAGCAGCTACAGCAAAACAAATCTGAGGTCTTGGAAGCTGTAGAGAGCGGCAGATCCAAGCCACAAAAAAATGGGAAGAAACAATTGGTTCCCTATCACTTTCTTTCCGCCAGCCAGACAACAAGATGTCAGGGCTTTAGCCAGTTTGGAACAGAAGGCTATGGAGAATGCAGAGAGAAGCATATTGTGCCAAATCTCACACGCCCAACAGCTGTCTACATTTATGCTTTCCTACTAATTCTGCCTAACGCAAAGGTACTCTGATATTTCCGTCAATTGCGTTAAAAACACTGCCAACTGACCCCTTCCGATATGGCGATCAAAATATTATTATCAATTTGCAGCTTCACGAAGTGCAAACCAAGGATTGAACAAAGAAGAAGAAAAAAGAACACACAAAAAAAGAAAGAGAATTCAGGTTTCAGGCACAAAGGCTGTCAAACAAACAAACTAGAATGTGCTCAATCAGCTATTATTAACACTTCTACATTAGAGCGGATGACTGCAACACCTGCTTGTTTTTCCCAACTCTCTCTGCAAACTAATATATCACAGGTATTTCACACACACCAAAATTAAACCGGTCCTCTTTCTATTCCACTTTGGAAAATGAACAGACTGTGACTAAGTAGGAGTAAGCTCATGACGTTCAGGGGAGTTTAAAGGCAAAAATTTAATAATGGCCAAAGGGTCAAATGCAGAGATGAGAATACAGGCAACTTATGACCACAACTGAGCCCAAAATTTCTGTTGCTAAGCGAGACGCTTGTTAAGTGATCTTTGCCCCATTTTACCACATTTCATGCCACGGTGGTTAAGTGAATCGCTGCAGTTGTTAAATGAATCTGGCTTCCCCATTGACTTTGCTTGTCATAAGGTCGCAAAAGGGAACCACAGGACCCCATGACACTGCAACGGTCGTAAATATGAATCAGCTGCCCAGCAACTGAATTTTGATCACGTGACCATGGAGATGCTACAGTGGTTGCAAGTGTGAAAAACAGTCCTAAGTCACTTTTCTCAGTTCCGTTGAAACTTTTAATGGTCACTAAATGAACTGTTGTAAGTCAAGGACTAGCTGTATAACAACAACAGGATAAAGAATGATCTGTCCACAATCTCTGGAAACAGTACAAGAGCCGCAGGAGAAAATTATTACCGTTCCAAATTAATTCACCTTCCAAAAGTGATGAGACAAATTTTAATACAGTGGTAAATGAATAAAATAAGCCTAGCCATCTGCTGCCATATCCCCCAGGACCTTTTCTCTCTGGTGCCACATATCTTCTTCTTCTTCTTCTTCTATTGCTTCTGAAAATCATTAAACAAGGCAACAAATCCATCGACTCATATTGTTCACTGCTTCACTAGACTATTTTAATTAGAACAGCAGTACTGAATTACAACCAGAGGATTAACATTTAAACACTACCATAATGAGAAAAATCATTTTTATTTAAAATAAATTTATTAAAATTTTATATTTCTATAACATATAAATGTTATATGTGCGCATGTGTGCATTATGCAGTATATTACTTTAAATGCTCGCACATAACTATCCCTTTGTTAGCCATACTGTTAATCTGCATCAGTGCATTTACTTTGAATATCGTACATCATCAAATCAATATAAAGGTAGTCCTCTCATTATGATTGTTTGTTTAGTGACAGTTTGAAGATACAATGGTCTCGGAAAAAGTGAAGTTGCAACCATCATACCATCTTGTGGTCATGTGATCACTATTTGCTTTCCACAAGCAAAGCCAATTATATGGAAGCCAGTTTTGCTTTAACAACCATTTAATGACCACGAGGGAGGGAAGACCTATGCTAAGCCTTAGGCTAAACACAAAGTTTCTGGAGCACCTGAAGATTCAGATTTAAAGCTTCCAAGCTTGCCTTGGAAATTAGGTTAGCTTAATATTTATTGACTGATTTATTTATTTATATCCCACCTTTATTACAGTTGGTCCTTGAGATACAACAGATCACTTAACGAACATTCAAAGTTACAATAGATGTCCAAAATTATATATGACCCCGTTTCAAAATTATGATGGCTGCAGCACCTTTATGACTGATCACAGGGTTGCTGTAGCACACACACACACACACACACGCCTCTCTCACCCCATCCCAGCTCTCCAGAACCCACACACCCACTACACTTACCTTTTGAAGCTCTCAGGACCTCATATTGGGGAAGGAGGGCAGGCCATGTGGACAGGGACAAAATGGCAGCCGCCAAACTGCTTCATTTTGCTGCCTTAAAGAGCTGCAGAAGCTTCTGAATGCTGCAGAAATTAACTGTGCAAATCAGGTTAAAGCAGCAAAATGGAATTGCATGGCACGATTCTGCAAGTGGCGGCTATGCCAAAATGCAATTCAGCTACTGGAAACATGGTGGCTGCTTCCAGAATGATGCCATGCAGCCACCCGATGAAGCCATCCATTCCAGCCCTCCAGGAAGCCTTGGAGCTCTTCAAAAGGTAAGTGAGGAGGAGGGCGTTTGGCCCAGGTGGGGTGGGAATCAGACCTGAGGCCTGGGAGGATTCACTGGGAGTGGGGAAAGGCCTGTTAGGACTCTAAAGGTGTGGGAAATGGAGCACGGGGCAATCTCAGGAATGGGGGAGACCTTGGAGGGTCAGGGCAGGTAGGCCTGGGCCAGTACTAGGCCTCCAAGGGGTTCCCCTACTCCTGAGGTACCCCATGCGCCACTTACTGGGATGGCAGGTTAGCTGAGCTGTTTCATTTAACGACTGTTGCATAATGTGACTTAATGAACAGGCTCCATTTACAGTCACATGTCAAAGACTACCTGTATTTTTATCAATAACTCAAGGCAGCAAATACACCTATTCCTCCTTCTTCCTCCTATTTTACCCATAGCAATCACCCTGTGAGGTGGGTTGGGCTGAGAATGAATGATTGGCCCAAAATCACCCAGCCGGCTTTCATGCCTTAAGTGGGACTAGAACTCACAGTCTCCTGTTGGCTTCCAAGTTGATTTCTACCAGATAGAAGTATTAAATTAAGTGAAATATTTTTTTTGTTTCAAATGCCGTATGTAAATATTTCTATTATATTTAATTAAATTTTATTTTTATTGTAAACCTCAAAAAAGGCTGCATATGTTTCTAACAATGGTTAGACAGCACTCTCGTGGATATTTCATGGTTTGCTAGACTTGCTAAACCAAGTAATTCAAAAAGGAGCAAAAATGGAAAGAAGAAAAAAATGGTTTTATAAGCAGATTTTACATTCTATTTTTTCCCTAAACTCTCAC